ACTGAAAGTGAAAGTAGTCAAACTGAATTTTTAATAAACCAAAATACAGTTTCAAAGAAAATTAATTCAGATACAAAACTTTAAATTCAGTTTCAAATCATTAAATTTATTTTCAAACCAATGAATTCAATTTAAAACTATGAACATTCAGATATAACTCCTGCTGGCACAAAGTTGATCCCATACATGGAGCCCAGAAACACCTGAGTCCTGAATGAAACACCTACTGGATGAGAGTCTGGCAGTTGTTGATCCGGACCTTCAGGTCCTCGTTCTGCTGCAGGACGTGGACAATCTGGTCCTCCAGAGACAGATTCTTCTGCACCTGGACGTCAGGACGCAGCAGTCAAAACAAAACCAACAGAATTAAAAAAGAATTGAATAAAACCTGAACTCTGAGTGTCTGTAGCTGATCTGAAGCTGAAAGAAATGAAAGCGTCAGAGGTTCTGTGCAGGAGGACGTACCAGCTCGTCCATCTGCTGCAGCTTCCTGCTCTGCTCCTGCACGCGCTCCGTCTTCATCTCAATGACAAACAGCAGGGACTCCTGCTCCGACTCCCAGAACTCACCTGGGCTGCCGTGTTCCTGAACACAACGTCTCATTTAACTCAACATGCTCCATCCTCAGCAGGTAAGACACTACCTACACTTCAGAACTCATTATCCTGCCTGTTTACAAGGTCATTGTCTGATTTACTCATTTACAGCCAACATTGAATGCACCACCATCCAYCAGACTGGTTCATCAGGAGATTCTCCTCTTTAGTGGGACTTTACTGGTTTATCGTTGTGTCTGTGAGACTGTAAGTTAACCCTTTAATCACCTGGTTAGCTGTTAAATATGTGTCACATTCTCTGTTAAAATAATCTATCTTACAGTTTTAAATGTTTCATGTGTAGTGTTTAACAGAATACTGATTATTACTGTATTTATCACAGTGGAAGTATAATTAAGATTAGTGGCTAATTCTGACGTTTATTGCTTTCATYGTATATTAATGATGCATTTAAAGACCATCGGAACTCCAAAATTCTTGTATTTTGTATGGTGCGTTCAGGGACAATCGGAATTTTCAGTATCAGGTGAGAACCAAATGATCAATTTTTTTTAAATTCATATTTTAGTTTATAGAATGTCATTATCAATAACTCACCGTTTTTGTTTTTATTTCATGATAATTACTTTGCATATCTGTGTGTACTGTTACCCACATGGTATTCTCTGCAGTGTTTATTTCACAGTTTCTTAACCTGTGGGCCATGAGTGCCACCTTCAGGGCCTCAGAAGAACAACAGTTTTTAACTTTGGGCCACAGAGGGC